TCTCTCTCTCTCTCTCTCTCTCTCTCTCTTTCTCTTATGTGAATTACCGTATAGGGATCAATATGGACCGAATAGTGCCCTCCCAGACCATAGTTCACCACCTGTCGACAACCAGAAAAACAAAACATACAACGAAAACAGTAAACAAAAGGTCTAATATCTGAACAGAGGTAACCTAGTTAACCATTCATCATCATCACCCAGTGCCAGATCTGCGACAGACATCGGCTGTCATGGTTCTCCCTTCATTCTTTTGCTCGGGTGCTCTTATTTTAAATAGCAACGTTTCCGTGATCTTTCCCCTTTACCCATTTATTGTTTAGATTACTTAAGTAGGTTGCTCTGGGCCTACCCCTGCCTCGTTTGTTTCAATTTTGCCAGTGAGAGCTAGATGTTCAAGACCTATTCAGGCGTCCCAAAAACTGCTTTTGTGTTTCCTTGTTGTTTTTAACACTGAGCATCTCACGTCGGCTTCATCAAGTACTTCCTCATTTGATTTCTTTTCCACCCAGATATTCTCAGCAGTCTCCTAAGAAACCACATTTCCGCTGCTTCTATTTTATTTTCGTCCAGCATTCACAGCCATATTAAAGAAGGGTTGACCATACATAGCATTTCAGAATTTTCATTTGGGTAGTCATGAGATGTTTCTATTTTTCTGGATTGGGCTCATTTTATTGAAACTAGCGTTAGCCATAGCAATTATCCATTTTATTTCTGTGGAACATTTGGCATCAGATGTTATTATACCATATTCTAGATATTAAAACTGTTGGACCTGTTTGATCTTTTCATCTTTGCTGATGAGGGAACCATTAAACTACAGAATCTGGGTAACCTAGGTAATCATTACACTACAAAACCTTGATAACTAAGGTAACTGTTACACTACAGACGAATCAGGGTAACCTAGATAACCATTAAACTACAGAATCTGGGTAAACTAGATAATTATTAAACTACAGTATCAGGGTAACCGAAACAATCATTAAACTACAGAATCAGGGTAACCGAAACAACCATTAAACTACATAATTTGGTAAACTAGGTAACCATTACACTACAGAACCCGCTCCAATGTCTGTTGAACCAAGGTAACCCAGGCAACCTAGGTAACCATTACGCAACAAAATCCGGTTCAATATCTCAGCCCAGTTAAACTATGTAACCATCATACTACAGATTCTGGCCCACGGTCTGAACCCAGGTAACCCAGAACCGTACCTGTGAGTGACTACACTACCTGTAGAGGTTCCGAACCGCTTTGTCCATTATGAAATCCCCCAGGGTGTATCTCAGTGTTCAGCTTTGTGAGTTCTTGCACTCGTGCAGACAGACGCTTGACGGTTTGCGATTCTTTATCGTCTATGAAACAGCTGCAAGTCAGAAACAATAGAGTTCAGAAATAACGATGATGATGATGATGATGATCTTGATGCTGATGATGATGATGATGATGGTGGTGGTGGTGGTGGTGGTGGTGGTGAAGAAGAAGAAGAAGAAGAAGAAGAAGAAGAAGAAGAAGAAGAAGAAGAAGAAAGAATTTTATTATTGTTTGAAAGCAACTCATACCAAAAGTAAGAAATAACTTTGTAAAGTTATAAAACGTGCTGTCATAAATAACCAGTGAGTAACTTAAAGAAAAGTTGTTGGTATTGTTAAAGTTGATTGATGGTTCCGTCGTCACATTATCTATTCTCTTTCACGCGCGCGCCTGTGTGTGTGTGTTTGTGAGTGTGTGTGTGTGTGTGTGTGTTTGTGAGTGTGTGTGTGTGTGTGTTTGAGTGTGTGTGTGTGTGTGT